CAGTAGCTCTGGGACTAGGACTAGGGGTCCTGGCCTCCGTCTCCACTGGACTGCTCTGCTCCCCCATCTCTTGGTGAGGGTCACACAGCAAATCAATGGCGGCAGTGGGAATAGACCCAGGAGCTCTGATTCCTCACCCCATGCCCCTGCTCTAACCACTAGCCTACCCACCCTGTTCTAAGAAGTACCCCCCCACCATCTTCCCACCCTGCCTGCAGTAGTATGCCTCAAGCACTCTTACTGATATGCTCCACGATGAAGTGGAAGAGGCTGGTGGCAGTGCCTACGGGATTCACAGCCGTGATGTTCAGCACGTAGGGGGTGATGGAGAAGAGCTGGACGTCGTTGATAGAGCAGCTGCTGGCCCCGGCTGCAGGCTGGACACACTCAGTCTCTCCCCCCTTGGCCCACACGCCATGCCTGGGGGGTGGGAGGGGTGTAGGTCACTGCTTGGCAGTGGCTGGCTGGGGGGTGGGCACTGCCACAAGTATCATGAATTCACAGATCTCAGTGCGCCAATGCTCTCCTTGGGCTTTGCCAACATGGCTCTTTGGGATGAGCCTGGGGTCTGGACTTGGAGATGGGGGACATCCTCCTAGTCTAGGCCTGGGGCGCGGGGGGCCTGAATGTCCCTGGGGGCTGATTTCAGGGTGTCCCCCACTGTCTCCAGCAGAGTCCCAGCCCTGGGAGTGAGAGACCTCTCACCTGTACGTGGCAATGAACTCCGTGTCCAGGTGCACATCAGCTGGCAGGCTCCAGGTGCAGTTGACTGTCTGGGGATAGCTGATGGCCCAGCACTCAATGGCAGGCTTCCCGGGGGGCACTGCAGGGGGGTAAGGCCTGGGCATCACCCCAGCTGGCAGAGGAGCTCGACGTGCCCCTGGGGAGCTAAGCCCTGCTGCAGCCCATCACCCCCACCCCTGCAGGCAGCAACCTGGCTCTGGCTGGATTGCACCAGGTGGATGAGCCTGCTCAGCCCCTGAGTGGTCTCTTAGCTCAGCCTGTGAGATCCAGAGGGCCTGGGTTCAATCCCCAATGCCAACAGCAAACCCAGGGGTCCTGCACAGTGAGGGCAGGGGAAGAGGTAGACCCCCCCCCCCCCCCCCCCCGGGGGGGGAACCACCCCGTCCCACCCACCACCA